CCCAACCTTCCTTCCGAGGAGTGGCTGGTGGGTTTGAACTGCCAGCCTTCTGGTTAGCAGTCAAGTGCCTTAGGCACTATGCTACCAGAGCTCTGAAAGAGGTTAAGATGTATACAAAGAATATTTATAATTGGAGTGAGGGAATGGGAAAAATAGCATGTGACAATATTTTGTTCATAAGAGATAAACTTAGGGTTTGATTTTCTGGAGATGGAGAATTTATGTCATGATTAGTTCCAACAGATGATGGAATGAATTGCTTCTGAGTAGAAGGTTTAACTCAACTCTAGTTACTGAGAAGTGCTGGATAATGTATGAATTGTTGATGTGTCATGACAGTGATATCACAAACTATTATCTTATAAAAGCATAAGGAGAATACTACCTTTAAATTTGTAATTAAATATATTACACTTTTTAAAAGAAACTTTGAAAAGAAAACTATTTCATGTTCCACAGGCCAAATTTGGTCTTTCATCTGACTGAGTTGTCAACCATCGATTACATAGTTAACAACCATGAAACAATGATCTGCACTTCTTATGAAGGATACACATCCACACAATCTATATGTATCTCAATGAAGGAAAGTTAATTGAATTATAACAAAGTTACACCTGAAATTTTGGATAGAATTTCATTAAATAAGGAAAAAACATCTGCCCTTCCTGATGAATATAATTAAAAAACAATTATTTGATCCTTCCCAATTTTATACTCACTACAAATGAGAGAAATTATCAAAGATTTCAAAAAGTGCTTAAATTAAGTATTGTTACCTATGAAAGCTGGCTTTTTATTAATTATTTCAAATTTCTGAAGTCAAATTCACAAATGGGATATTATCTCTTTTTCATTTTAACATACTATTTTATTGAATAAAGGATATTAATTTAATTTATATCCTGAAATGTATACAATGGAAGTATTAAAGCTTTATATTAAATTATATACTATATCATATAGGCTGGGAAAGCCCAATAATGTTCCCTTCATTTATTCATCTTTCCCATTAAAAAATAACAGTACTGAAGACAATGTTAGAAAGGTATGCTATATTATGTACAACCTGACAAAGAAGCTATTTCAAGAAATGAGAATAATAAAAGTTATTCCTAAACTTTGAAAGATCTATTGTAAATGAATTGAACTTGTTCAGTTTCTGATTGCTTGCCAGCAGTGTAGCTGTCTCCAACATACTCCTGTATTGATCTGGTAGCCTTTGTCACAGTGAGTGAAGAATACCCATCTGTGTCAGGTACAACAGCAGGTGCCATCTCCACTGAACTAGCTGCTGCCCTGATTACAATGAGTCTGTTTAGAACACTGGGTGAACACAAAGAATCGTTTTTCTTTGTAGAAAAGAAACTCCTCTATAAAGTTTACTGAAGAGAAACTGAAAATCTTACCAGAAACCATCAGCTGACAAGGTGCTGCAACAGACTCCAATGAAGACAAAGTAAGAGATGTAGTGATGGAAAGACTTTGGCTTGTAGAAGATTCCTGTTCTTGCACACTAGTCTGAAGTTTCCATTTGGACCATTGTGAAGAAGTCCTGACATCTTCTAGGAAATCATATGTTAAAGTAAGATAATCTGTATAATAAGGCCAATCTGGCATAATTGCAGACTTGAGGAAAGATTTCTGTATTGGAAGTGACTGGGTTGGTGAAACTGTATAAAATGCAACATTAGAAGTCACTTCTGAAACATCAGACGTCGAGTCTATATATGGTGGCACGTTGTATTTCAGATCACTTGAATGTATGGTTTCTAAATATACATTTAAGGTAACATCTGTAAAGCTTTGTGAGTTTAATTCAAAGTCAAAAGAATTACTAGTTGTGTAAAGTTTGAATGGTTTATGAGATCTCTTACTCTCTTTCATGTCCAATAAAATATCTTCATTCAGTATTTCAGTGGGTCCCATAGTTAAATCATATTGTCCTATTTTCAATAACTTTAATATGTTTTCTGACACTGAAGAATCATCAGTCAATTTTGAAGTCAAATCAGAATGCAACAGGTCTGAAGAGAGAGTTTGTGAAGGGGCAATGGATAAACAAGTCTTATCCAAACATAAATTAACATCCAAATTACTTGATAGAGTAATGGATTCTTCCAAGGATGAGGGTAAAATTGTTCTTTCTGTGCTCATTTTAGAAGGAAATAAAGATGACAGTTCTGTGAATGCCACTGATGGTGTTATTTCAGTAGCAAAAGAAAATGAATGCCCAGAAGTGATCGTTTGAGTTCCCATTAGCGCATACCAGCTGGCTAATATCGCTGAGTTCATCCAGAATGTCTCATAAAAGTAGGACTGTTTGCTATGCAAAACTTGATCTGAGAATTCATGAGAGGATTTTATTTCAGTCATAGAACATGTTGCACATGTTTGGCTTAATTCACTTAAAGAATCAGCAGCCTGTGATTTGATGTTTGTGAGTCTCCAGTTGCTAGATGCTTCAGTAATAATCTGATATTCACTGGGAATGGAGGCATGTGTACTGAATTGGTACAGAGTTGATGAGTTTAAGAGGGCTACCTGTTTGGATATAATTATCTTAGCAGGAGAAATGGGATGCATTGTGGAACTCAGCAATCTCCGGTGTTCTCGTCTTGAAATTAACAAAACAGTTAAATATTCTTGAATAACCTCTTGAGTCTCCCTAGAGACAACTGGAGGTGCACTTGTGGAAGAAGTTGTGAGTAGGAATCCACGGGAGAGTAATGAGTGACTGTTTAACTCAATATCAGCTCCTGGAATGTCACTAATTACTGAACTCATTGTAGTAGCAGATAAGACAACAGTCTGATAGTTCTCATATAATAAAGATTGTGTATAGAAACTAAAATCTTTCTTTAAGGAAGAGATGATAAATGAAGTCATCACTATCCTATCAGGAGAAAGGAATGCTGGGGTGTCTGTTGACATTTGAGTGGGCATATGTGACCCAGATGTTGTGTCCAAGACAAGCTGTTTTGGGGCAAGAATACCAAATTTCAGATGTGAAGAAAAGGAAACATCTGTGGAAGAAGGAACACTGTTCCTTGCTAAATGTTTTCTTGTGGAAATCAGTTCTTCGAACAAATAGCTTTCAAAGGATAAGTCAATGCTTGATGCAGCCAAACCAGTGGTTAGAAGAACATTATCCTTGAAAATATCTGTCTTTTTTGAATCTGCAGAGAGAAAAGGTAAAATTATTAGAGAATGATTAAAATTGAACAAACACCCTGGGCTGAATCTTCAGAAAATTACACTGCCACATTATATCCATTATATACAGACAAATATGTCTCTATAAATCATATTTCTAATAAAAATGTATAAGGAAGTTTAGTGGTTTCATAAACCATCTAAATGCAGACTGCTATTATTCCATAAGAGGGCCATTACACAGATTAGACATATTCCAAGCCAAAGGATCCCTTTGAACAAATTATCAAAAAAATGCACAAATTATAATGCTTTTGTTATTGATAGAATCAATGAACATTTGATCTATTAAGTTCAAAATGTTTCTAAATAAATAAATTGTTCTTATTTGTATTAGGTAATGCCATATGTCAATTTAATTCCTTAAAAAAGACTGAAATTATGTAGAAGAAATTAAAGCAGTCTACATTTCTGCTTAGAATATACATTAACCTTAAAAAATACTCTTTTTCTTAAACATACAATAGCTTGATAAGTGTTGTAACTCTCACTTTGGTATCTGGATGACATTTACTATGAAGAAGGAATTTGGATCTTAACGAACAATATCATATGTGCAATATGGCATCATTTAATTGAGAAAGTCAAGAAACATGACATTTAAAAACAGACTAAAGTCAAAATAATACAGGAAACCATGCACTTAATTTATATCTGAGTAAATATTTTACAAATAAAATGAATATAAATTTACATACAATGATTGAGAGGATACTAAATGACGACATAATGAAGAAAGAAGTATCAAACCCTTTGAAATAATTTCTATTGATAATTAACACAAAATGAGCTGGGATTGACTTGGCTCTATTTGTCTACCAAAATTTACACATCAGAATACAGTTTATTAATGAATAGTTTCTCCCCACTAATCCAGAAAGTATATTCATTAGTAAAGCACATCTATATATTTAAAATAAAACTTACTAAAGGACACATAACCAAAGAATTCTCAGATAATTTTATACTCTTAAAAAAAGTACGAATCTTAGAAAAATAAAGATTGAGATCATTCATAAAATGCAATGTATACATGTTTCCTAAACTCAAATTTCTCCATTTCTTACTGTCACCTACTTACTTTGATCAGCTAGGTAA